GATATTTTTCTCGAAAATTTTCAAATACATAAATTCTAATTTTCAAAAATTTTGATCAACGGTGCGCACTTAACAATTTTATGTTCTAAATTCTTAACTAGAAAATTCTCATCCAACAGAATGATAGAATAGACCTTTCTTGATTCTATCGGATTAAATTTTTCTAGTTGAGAATTTAGAAGATAAAATTTCTTGGAGTTCAGATCATACAGGAAATACTCTTTTCCTGAACACGACGATTTTTAGTTGCCGGCTCATCTCTAGCAGATGCTCTATCATTTAATAAATCCACTATTACCTCTAAGACCCTCGATAAGCGAGATGCGACATTCGGCTTTACTAGTGCACTAGATGTCTTCGGTGGAATATAGGATGAAGTAACAGTCCGTTGTCATAGTCACTATAATCGTAGTCAGAATCGGATGCTTCATCGGCCTTCTGCTTTTCATTAATCTAGGTGATTTAGATTGATGCATCGATGATTTTTTTAACGGTATAGTCGACTCTCACCGACGATTTTCGGTTTCACGCACTAAATGCTAAATCCAACTCTTTTTCTGTCTTCTTAAAAAAAGACAAATTCGAAAATTCCTTCCTTCTACAATTTGAATAAATTCGAAAATTCCTTCCTTCTACAATTTGAATAAATTCGAAGATACGAAAAATTTTTGATCGACTGTTTCACAATTTTGCATACGAATTCTAATATGAGAAGTTTGCCAAATTTGGTAAATTTGGTTTGGAGACCATGTGTTTATCACATTATCATGTTATAACTTTGAATTTTACAAATGAAATTAAAAAAAATATATATATTTTATATTAATTTTAACCAAGAAATTTTGCTTAACAATTAATTTTATTTGAATTAAGAATTATTCTTTGGTTTAATTCCAAGATAACATCCACGATTTTATTTATTGTTATAAAAAATTTCAGTGTATTAGGATAGAGTGTCCATTATTGCGCAATATCTACTCAATAAATTTAGCAAAGAAAGTAAATTTCGGTTATTTCTCTAACCAGTTGCTCCGAATAAGGCCTTTTCCGGGCTTCTATTTCGGCTAGTACTTTTTTTCTCTGGGGTTCAGTAAGAAAAAAATTGGTTTAACGGAATTTTCACCCGTTAAAACTACGGCTTGGCTGCTATATTGAGTTTCGGAACGGGATTATTTCTATGGTGCAAGAATTCTTAAATCGACAATATGTTTCATTCTAAAAATTCTATCAACTTCTTAACCAAGAAGCAAATACAAAATTTAACCGGTAATACTATAGAAAAGGACTTGCTTGATGATATTACCGGTCAAATTTTGGATTTG